CCCCCCCCCCCCCCCGTACATCATTGCCCGTCTCGTTCCTTCTTTATAAACTTTTAATGACGGCAAAGCCTAATCGAGAAAACGAGCGAGCATGCCCAGCTTCGCGAAACTACCCGACAAAATCGACAGGATCTCGATGTTCGATACTCAACCAACCTTAACCATCACTTCGAGAAAACGTTCGTGCAATCTACAATAATGGCGCGTTGCGCTATATACTTCAATTATTATTGACTAATTTATCAATATTATGAGAAAAATGTGAACACGATACATTCACGATAATTTTTAGATAGTTGATTTTTAGGTAGAGTGGACCGAGACGAATTAGATCACAGAACGAATCGGATCAATGTAAAATTTGAGACAGTTGGTTGATATTTGTCATTAATTACTTTTTTGTTTCAAAAAAGCTCGTTTGAAACAAAAAACATAATAAAATTATCAATTTTCATAATGTTAAAATAATAATGTAACTTTCATTATTTTACAATGATGCATATTCAATAAAAAAAGTCTCAAGAAATTTAGCAAGGTGGTAGTAGATTCTCGACTGTGCGAACTATATTTATAAAAATAAATTTACTATATTTATACACTTTATTTAATTTTTCGCAAATGTCAATTCAACTATAATGGTAAAAAAATATTTCAACTAAGGAATGTACTGTAATATATATATAAAAAATGTTAGTAACTCTTTATTTATATTTCTGTACTTTTCGAGGCATGCGTAATTTATTTTGTAAAACAATTCTTAAAATATTAATATAAAAATATATTGATGACCACTCGATAGCCAGTAGCGATACAACATTGCATAAAGTAAGTCGTACGAGCAAGAAGTTGAAGTTCGAGCTCGAGTTCGAGCTCGCGGGAGCGCTTTCGATTTGCAACAAATCATTCAGCGTTTACACCCGGCTGCCCGTCCAGTTGAATTAAACTTCTACCGAGAACTTCGTTCTCCGTTTACCGGCTTGGAGGTATACATATACACTGGGTATAGCTAACCGTCTGTACCTGCGAACTGCTTCTCGAAGTTCGCTCCCAGTGCCTTCGTGCGAAAGCAGTTAGCTGTTTGACGTAGCGCTATGCTCGTTACGGACATGTTTGGATTAACATGCCTACGCACGATGTACGCGAGTAAAACAAATTAAAGCGATAAGTGGTATCTGATAGTTGGATATTTTTGTATATCTTGATACGTTTACATTTGAAACGGCACCTGATTACTGGTGATATTCAAATATATAATACTTAAATGCATTCGAAGGCAATACATTGCAGAACATTGTTGTAAGATTTACGAATTGTTAAGAAGGACTATTTGTTATTAGATAAAAAGATAATAATTATGTGTAGTTAGCATTTATTAGGGAAAATATATTTTTAGTGAAAGTTCTATATTTCGATATATCAATTGAATCTCTTTACGTACATTATCACTGGTTCGTAAATTTGGTCGTATACGAGCTATAGCTTTTCCTTTCCCTCGAAAAAGGGAGTAGCGACATAAACCCGTAACGTTCGACTCCTAAAGCACGATTAAACTAATCCTTACTTATTTGTTCCATGTTCCTCAGTGCGTACGTCCTCTGCTACTATTAGATATATCTTCTGATCGTTGTTTCCTTGGGGATGGTCCTGGGAAAATTGGGCAAGAATTCGAAGTTTCTCTCGTATCGTTGCTCTCTGTACTTTACACGATTGTAACAATGTTTCAAGAATTAGTATAATATGTGTATAATATTACATATATATGTATATGTTCAGTGAAATTTAATATACCATAATAATATCTAAAAAGATTGTAACAGTTTAGAAAAGACCAACTTCTTTCTTTGTACTGAGTAAAAATTGAGTCTAATTTATTAATTTAAGAGGTTAATATTCTTAATGTTAAACGATACACAAAAATACTAATTTACTAAAAACATGATTTTATGAGATATGATTATTTTTGACAAATCTGACTTAAAAATCCCTCATTGTCGAAAGCGTTAGTTACGAAATAAATGTGTATTGTGGGTGCTGTTTCGGTGGCGTTTAAAGGAGTACCGGTGTCGGAGGGTATACTGTGCGCCATTTAGTGGCGGCACTCTCTTTCATAAAAGACCTTAATAAAAATCCCAATCTAAACAAGCTTAATTTACGTCCGCCACATAATTACCTACCCTGAGGCATGACTTCCCTCGCTCACCCCCTCTGCCGCGAACTACCTCTGCTGGCTCACTCCTCTGCTGGCGCAGGAGAAAAGGCGAAGGGACGAGAACGAAGGAGATGCGCGCGTCGAGAGCGCACTGAAAAATCTAAGAGGCTTAAAGCATTAAAAGGGTTATATAACATTCATTACCAGCGGGTCAGCCTTTGTGAAATTTCCCTTGGAAGCTCCTTCACTCAGTGGACACGACCTTCTCTCGCCCCCCCTTGATTTTTCTCCTCCCAATCCTCTCCCTCGTCCTTTCGAGCCGCCATCTTCTTCTTGTCGTTCGCGCTCTCGCTCTTCCGTAGCATCGAGCGTCCCTCGTCTCTAGGGGTGCAGAGTAGTCACGTGATCGCACCATCGTCCGGCATAAGGGGCGATGGGATGGAAAGTGGCGGAGAAAGGAGAAGAGAGGAGGGTCCGCTTCTCTGATGAAGATGTCGCACACGCCGGGGACCCTGGCGAGATTACTCGGGTTAGAACCTGCGGACCCTGGTCAGGGCACATGCTAATTGCTTTATTTGACATCAAGAAATAATGTACTGCTGTTCTCTGGTACGACCGTCGCCGTGCGAGAACCCCGCGAGGAAACCAGTAGTCCTTCGTTCTCACATCGCATCCTTTCTCACTCTGCCACTCCTTCGACTATTCCTATAAATTCTCTCGCATCCCATGCCAAATAGCATTCTCTCGAAAATCTCATGGATTGCATCTCGTCTAGTACAAATATTGTACAAACATTAACATCTGTATTCATCGTTCTTATTCCGTAAGCGTATATATTACGATCAAAAAGATATACACGTATAAATTAAATGTACATAGGGTAACTCCGGTATCAGTAAAAACTTTGTACTATCTACTACTATGAAAAAAATATTAGAAATCCGAAATATTTTGTTTTCGTATTAAAAAATAAACTTTTTGAAATCTTGCACTTTTGCTATATATAGATAATGGGTGGGATATATGACAAAAATGCAAGGGTTTCAACAAACTAAACAAAGAATACGAAAGCAAAGCACTTATATTTTGCTATACAACATGCTTTACTATTCCTCTACACGTATCACGAAATAACCACTAGGTCTTTTACACGCCTTACAGTAATCATTTCATGTAGATTATAATTTATGATGCTATTTGTTACACACACAGTAACAAATCGATTCAATTCACAATAATTTCATTAATATTAATAGTAAGAAATTGAAATCATAACACTAATATAACATAAAGGCATGTAAGAGAGTAGTTGCGAGAAAATTACCCCCACTCCTTCTATTTTTTCTGACTTTCGCGGCGTAAATTCCAGCGCGGCGTATATACCGGAGTTACCTTATATGTAATTGAATTACTCGCGAAGGAATATTTTTATTGAATATTCGATTTATTTCTCATTCTTATAGAAATATCTTTTTTATTTGTCGTTACAATTTTTCAAAGGACACAGGCTATAAGCCGCGTCATATGGAATGCAAAGTACA